CTCAGGATCCATGTATCTGTGATCCTCTCCAGAATGGAAGTAGTCATCACATACAGAGCATCAACTAGTTCCTGAACAGTGTCCTTCACATGCTGATATCCAAGAGAGGGAGTTACACAGTCACAAGATGGAGGAATAGAAAGCAGTATTCAATGTTTACTTCAGATTAGCTCCACGTCAGAAATGATCATGCTTGTCATATGTCTCTCTCCATAGAGGCTGAATCATCATGTTAATCACATAGCTATCATATGCCTCAAACAGTCCTGATGCTCTTCTAGGTAATCACATATCCTGTCATGTTCACAGCTGCAGTTGATACCTTTGATAGCATGTTGCTCTCATGTTGGAAGAGGACATTCAGTATTTACATAATGCTTTACACTTTGAAAGACCAAAGTGCTACTACAAAGGAAACATAGGATACTTTATACATAGTGGAAGTGTGCGAAGCTGTTGCAGCTGTTTTTAAATTAAAATTCAATGCGATGAGGAAGAGTAATCAGGCGAGGAAGACTCTTTGCCCTGAGTCTTTTCTTCCTGTGTGTCTGGGGGGGTACGGCGTGATTAGCTCTGGGAATTGAACATCCGTTAGTTCCTGTGTTCAGATGTTAAACACCGGGGCTTGTGGGAGCTTCTTAGTTTGATGCAGAAGGGATTCTGTAGGATGTGATGAGGAAAGCCAGCGCCAATTGTGTCACTTCTTGCTGCTCTGCTTGGTCTCACTTCTGCTGAAACAACAAGACAGAAACAATATCCAAATATTGTATTTTCTTCAGCTTTTCTTCAGGATTTGTATGGTAGTAACATCTGGTGTTGGTGCTTTTGAAGGGACTGAACTTAGTGTGGATTGAAAGCACTAAACGTTATTGAGTTGGTTAGTTTAAAAAAAAGTATTCCGTTGAAAACTATTTTTCTTTTTGGGATTACAAAAGATTCTGATTTAAGATTCAAGGCTTTATTGTCATGTGCACATTATCTACAGTGTAGATATGTCAGTGAAAGACTGAAGTCCCAGGCTCCTCCGACAGAGCAACATGAATATATATATATATAGGACATATAAATGGTACAAGAAAAGTCTACATAAATGGAATATGATTTATAGATACATACATTGTAAGAACAGATGAATGTTTATGGAGGCAAGTCTATATCTATCCAGTTGGGTAGTTAGTTAGTTAGTTAGTTAGTTAGTTTGTGTTGTTTGTTTGTTTGTTTGTTTGGTTGGTTGGTTGGTTGTTTGGTTGGTTGGTTGGTTGGTTGGTTGGTTGGTTGGTTGTTGTTTGTTTGTTTGGTTGGTTCGTTGGTTGTTTGGTTGGTTGTTTGGTTGGTTGTTTGTATGTTTGGTTGGTTGGTTGGTTGGTTGTTTGTATGTTTGGTTGGTTGGTTGGTTGGTTGGTTGTTTGTCTGTTTGGTTGGTTTTTTGTTTGTTTGGTTGGTTGGTTGGTTGTTTGGTTGTTTGGTTGGTTGTTTGTATGTTTGTTTGGTTGGTTGGTTGGTTGGTTGGTTGGTTGGTT